ATTCATTTGTTTGCAAGTTATAAGCATTTTTATATTTATATATAAAAAGTAGATATTTCTTGCTGTCCGGTACTATAGCCAACTTAACAAATTTTTTTTAAGAAATAAGGTTTTTAAAAAATAAATCTATATTATTATATTTAAGTAAAAGGAGAGCTATTTATTAGCTTATATTTTTTTATTAAGAGGCTACCCCTCCTTTTCTACCTAATTTTAAATAAAAAATTTTAATTAGCTAAAACTATATACCTGATAATTTTTTTATCTCTTTCCCTCTAAAAAATCAGCTAATTTCTAGCACTTCTCTAATTATAATCTTTTAGATATTTATATTTTTTTCTTTTTTTTTTTATTTAATTCATGATCCACCTCCAAACCAGTAAAAATCATTAGTATTATTTGGGGTAAAATTTTGTAGATTATTTAAGAAAAGTCTAGCAGTTGGCAGTTTTTGGGTATAAGATAACGCTACCAACGAAAAACTTGTTCATACCAAATATATAACAGAATGTATATGCAAACTTCAAGAATATGCTGTTTTGATTTTTTTCGCTTAATTAATAATAATAAAAAAAGTTATTTGCTGACAACGCCAGATTCTGAGATAAAAACTGATCTGCGATTTCATTATTTCGTGCATTTTAATATAATATTAGAACTAGAGACATTATGATCTACATTTTTTGATTTTATTTTCTAAATAGAAAACATTTTTTTAAAAAAAAAATAAATCAAAAAACAGGTTCATAATGTCTCTAAAGCACATGAATTATTATTTAATATGCAATACTACGTAAAACTTTATTATTAACACTCGTATTATAATTTATATTTTAGAATTGTCAAATTATACCTGTCTGAGCTGCATGTTTATGATATTGACGAGTATAATGGCCTATCCAGCTTTGAATAGTAGATACTTTTGGAATAGCTTCGGCCTCAATTTCATCCTCAAGTACCCTTTGCTGAAGAGCTTCATACATATCTTGCACGGTATAGTGATCACTTTTGTCTGCTTTACAAGCTAGAAAATATTCCTCTAATATTTTTCTTACTTTTTTTGCAATTCTTTTTTCAACTTCCTTTTTTCCATATTTTTGCTTCTCTTTTAATGCCTATCCCGATAGTAATGAAAAATTTATAGTATTCGTACTAGATATTATCTATGTAAGTATATGTTATTAAAGTGTTGAATTGGACATA